GAGACCCCTCTGCAAGGGAATCTCCAGTGGCCTACTGATGGGCTTTGGATCTCCACATGAAGCAGCTTTTAAGAAACCTCTTTATTGTGAAAACAGGCTCTTATTTTTCACGGCACTTACTCTCTGAAGGTAGTTAACTCTGCCGACAGCACCAACTTTTCTGGTATAATTCACAAAGCCAATGTTTCCCTCAGTGGCAGCGTAGAACTCATAGATGTGGATGTCCCCAAATCTGTTGATGAATTCTCTCCACACGTCTCCCCGCAAGCCGTTTCCCATCGCCACTCTCACTTTATGATCGCGGTCGTTGGGTTTCTGTGGTAGGAGACCAAATAGAAAATATAAGCCGCAACTTACATATTGATGACGGCTTTTAGAGGCTTGCGAGTAGTCATCGAAGGTGCAAATAATGTTCTCTCCTCATCCAGAGGAGAGCAGAGGAATGAATTATGAGAGACACATGGAAACAATGAGTCCAGTGGCTGAAGGGACGACACAATATCAGTCTCTCAGCCCCACAGGCCCAAAGAACGAGGAGATGTTGCCCCAAGACTTCACTCAGCTGTTCTGAAAAGGGTCACATGAGAGGGTCCTGGCTAGAGTGGCAGAAAAATGTTGAAGAGAACTTAAAATCATCAAAATAGTCTAGGCTTATCGATCGGATAGAAACTGGTGAGACCCTCACAGTTGTCGTTCGGTGCTGGAACTGAGCTCATCTCTGCGTTAGAAAGTTAACCATTTCAATCAACAGGCCAGCGTTTCCCTGCGGAGAGAGGGTTAGGCTAGGAGGGCTGGGGACATGCAACTCAGGGAGGAAGTGGGCTAAGTGATGGTCCATAAAGGGATTGCATTGGATGAGCTGAACCAAAACGTGTATAAACTGTTCATATGTTTTCTAAACCTTGACCTCAATCACAAGACCAAGTTTAAAAAATTGATGGCCTTTATATTTTTCCCTATTTACACTGGTCACAAATTCACCTTCGAGCAGGCCCTTTCCACCACCTACACACATACTTGAGACAATCACATGGAACTAGGTGATGTCAGCACTTAATCCACATCTAATCTGAGGTTAGAATAATGTGTGCATAGTTTTCTTGATGAATCTCAGTGAAGTTCCAGAAAGTAGGGGATGCATAGGGAAGACCTAATGCAATCAATTGCTAGCGAATCCAGGACAGAGAGCCCCCTCAGGACCAATAATGAGAATAGTGATGCCAGGAGGGGAAGGGGAAGGTGGGGGGACAAGGGGGGAACCGATCACAATGATTGACATATGTCCCAGGGGGATGGATAACAGAAAAGTGGGTGAAGGGAGGCAGTGGTTGGTGTAAGACATGAAAAAAATAATTTATAAATGATCAAAGGTTCATGAGGGAGGGAGTGTGGGGGAGGGAGGAAAAGAATGAGGAGCTGATACCAAAGGCTCAAGTAAAAAGACAATGTTTGAAAATGACGATGGCAACAAATGTACAAATATGCTTGACACAATGGATATATGTATGGATTGTGATAAGAGCTGAAAGAGCCCCCAATAAAATGATTTTTAAAACTAAGATCACAAAGGGAATGTTTGGAGTGCTGGGACTGAAAGGAGAGCTTGTGTCAGCACTGAAGGTGAGGGTAGGACCAGGTTGTTTTTCATTCAGCCTAATCATTCATGACATGCCCACAAGTCTGTCTAAGCTTCGAGTTAATGAACTTTTATGTTAATAAGGCCATTCAGATCCTCCAGGAGATCATAGCCTGGTGGGAATGAAAGTTAAATAACCAAGTGCAATTTTAGCTTGCAAACTCTATTACTCTATAACTGTCCAGTTAGTAGAATAGAATGGGGTCAAGGTACCTAGGGGTTGCCTCTCACATAAAATAATTTTGCCATCAAATACTAATTACTTAGATCAGCAGTGTTGTGAATTGAAGTGTGTCCTCTCAAAATAGGTGCTGGTTAACCTGTGGATGTCATATGAGGTAATAACCTTTCAAAATGCAGTATCATGTAATCCATCCATTATTTGAGGTCACAGCAGTGTCAAGTGGATCCTGGTCACCTCTGAATTGGTGTGGTGGTTACTTGTTGGGCTGCTAACCACAAGGTCAACAGTTTGAAACCAGTCTCAGAAACTCACAGGGCAGCTTTATCCTGTCCTCGAGGGTCACTCTGAGTGGGCACCCACTTGATGGCCGTGAGGGTGAGTACAGACAAAAAGATAAACACACAAGGCAATCTCCTTCTTCCTGCACATCGGTCTTTCGTTTCATCTGTTGTTGTTAGTTGCTGTTGAACCGGTGCTGACCCGTGTGGACTCCATGTCGGCAGAGCAGGACTGCTCCGCCGGGTCTTCAATCCTGTGGCCCTACCATCGCTGAAGACAAAGCGGGTGCACAAGCAAACGTGATGAAGAAAGCTGATGGTGCCCGGCTATCAAAAGATATAGGCACTGGGGTCTTAAAGGCTTGAAGATAAACAAGCTGCCATCTAGCAGAGAGGCAACAAAGCCCACACAGAAGAAGCACACCAGCCTGTGTGATCATGAGGTGTCGACTGGATCAGAACCACAACAAACAAGCAAACAATAAAACAAATTACTGAGAAGGAGGAAGGTCAGAGCAGTGACCCCAAACCAATCTGTAGACAATGGGACATCCTGTTACATACAGAAGGGTCACAAGGAAGGTATGGTCATCAGGGCTCAGGATAGCACCGATGAAACACACAATATTCCTCTGGTTCTTTGAGGCTTCCTCACCTCCCACTATCATGACACCAGTCCCGCCTTTCACTGCGGGCTAGACCAGAGCATGTACACAGGTACAGATAGATAAGAGATAAGAGTTCATGACACTTGGAATCCAGGAACAGAAATGGGAGTAGCGATACCAGGAGGGTAGGGAGAAGGTGGGGAGAGGGGGGTGGGGGAGGAAGAGGGAATCGATAGCAATGATCGATGCTTAACCACACATACCCCCTCCCAGGGGAACGAACAACAGAAACCATGGGGGAAGGGAGACAGTGGTTGGTGTTAAGATATGAAAATAATAATCATTTATAATTTATCAAGGGGTCACCAGGGTAGGAGGGGGGCCGGAGGGAAAAAAGAGGAGCTGATAACAAGGGCTTAAATAGAAAGTAAATGGTTATAAAATACTAATGGCAACAGCAGATGCACAGATATGCTTGATACAATCGGTGCATGGATTATTATAAGAGCTCTAAGAGCCCCCAATAAAATCATCTTTTTAAACAAACGAACAAAACTTTTTATCCTCCCCCCCCCACTATACTGTGGCCATTTGGAGGCCAATCACCATGAGCGAGTGTCTTCTGAGGTGCCCCTGGTGGGTTCAAACCACCAACGTTTTGACTAGTAACCAGTTGGTCGACTCTGCGAGTCTCCGTACAAGCATGCACGTGGAAAGATGCATGTCACGTAAGAACGCCAAGCAACAAGGCATGCCCGGGCCCACTGACCAAGAAGGGCCTGTCCTGGCTGCGATCTTGCGTTTGGACTTCCAGCCTCCCAATCTGTGACAAAATAGCTCTTTTTAAAAAAAAAAAAAAAAATTATTTTATCGGGGGCTCATACAATTCTCATCACAATCCATCCATCCATCCATTGTGTCAAGCGCTACCTGGTTTTAAGAGCTATGTCCTGATGGTATTTCTGGTGGAGCGGTGTGAGGTAGTCACGATCAATAGCAGTTCCCACCAAGGGGCACGTGTGGTCGAGAGCATTTCTCACGTTATGTCCTCTACTTTGAGATCACTGTGATGGCATTTTGAGATGAGTTCCTCTTTGGAAAGAATTGTTCAAAAGAGAAGTCAACAGTTTTTGGATAAGGGGGAAAAAACCCAGCTACACTCAGTGCTGTCTGGTCAGTGCCGACTCAGAGCAAGCTGATAGGGCCGCGTAGAACTGCTCCTTTGCCTTTCTGGGACGGTACTGTTTACGGGAATAGAAAGCCTGTGTTCTCCTGAGGAGTGGCGGTTGGTTTTGAATTGGTGACCTTGCGATGGATTGAAGTCCAATAATTCATCACCACTACACACCAGGGTTCCTTCAGATAAGGGGATGGACTTAGAGATACTGGAATTCAAATGCAAAACAGATGATCCTTGAACTGATTTCCCCATGGGAGGAGCCATGAGGCTAGAGGCACACAGAGTCAAATCACACCACACTCATCGAGTCTATGCCAACCCGTAGCGGCCACCTAGGTCAGGGTGGAGCCACCCCTGTGAGTTTCCAAGGCGACAACTCTTCCTGGGAATCGCAAGTGGCATCTCTCTCCGGAAACAACTGGTGGTTCGGAACTGCTGACCTTGCAGTTAGCAGCCCAATGTGAATACAAGGCGGCTTCAAAAAGGTCACAGAAAAACGGAATGAACAGCTCATGGAATGCTTCCCGTGCGCTTTTTGAAGACCCCTCTACATGGGGGTTTGGTTCGTCAGTCGCCCTGGGGTTGTCGTGCTGATGAGGGGGGGCTGTTATCCGCACGGTCAGTTCTGGAACTCACGCCCTGCTCCGAGAAAGACCAGTCCTTCTGCTCCCGTGAAGGTTCACCCCTCACAGATCCCCTGGGCAGTTCTAGTATGTTCTACAGGGTTGCTCTGAGTGGGGCTTGGCTCGATGGCAGTGGGTTTGGTTGGGTTTTTGGAACTGACGAGGTGGACAGCTACTGGTCACTCCAGAAAACTAGGTTCCCTCACCCGTTTCTCTGAGGAGGAAATCAAGAAAGGAAGACCAGGAGCTCTTAAGCAGGGTGTGCGGGTGGGACATCTGCGAAACTGGTTGGCTCAGAATGAGTCTTGTTTGGGTTTGTTATTCTTGACTGCTGAGGAGTTCATGCTAACTCAGGGCAGCTCCACGTGAGTTGGAGTTGAACGGCTCAAGCCTGGGACCTTTCAGCAGCAGATTGCCAGATCCGCCTTCCGAGGTGCATCTGGGTGTATTCAAGCGACCAACACTGGGCCAACTAGTCAAGCACTTGCTTAACTGGAATAAGTTCGAGAGATTCTGACTGAGTGGGGGCCTGTTTTCTGAATCAGCTTCGTAGGTCCCCAGATCACTGAATCGATTCCCTTTTATAATTACCGAGTACCTGCCAGCAGGTGAGTCCTGGCGTGGTTATTAGTAACAGTGGTGTGATAATTAATAGCACCAATGTCACTCTTAAAAGTGTCTCTATATGGATAAGGAGCTAGAGGACCACCCAGGCCAGGAGGCATTATACTTTCCACCAACAATGGTCAGCTTTTCAGAGACCGCCTGTGACCTCTCTCACTACCACTCCGACAATGAAACACCAC